CTCAAACTACTAGCCAAATCATACCGATCGATGAGTGAAAATTCCTAGTGATGGAAAAATGCGAATATTTCAGTAATTAAGTACTTAAAATGAACGTCATTAGTCTCAAATTGTTCCTCAGGATTTAATGCATGGACTCAATAGTGCAGAACCCCTGAATTAGTAAAATTAGTTATGCCTGTATTACCGTAGCCCCTTAAGGGACGGCAACACCACTTGCGACAGATTTCGAATACATTTACACCGCTGAACGGGCATCATTTTTCCTCGTCACTCATCAAATTCGAAGTTTCAACAACGTAGATTAGTTCTTTCTAGCGACTGGAAACCAGTAATTACAAGAACATTGTTAAAATCACATTTATTTGCAACGATTCACACTGTATCTCGTCATGCGTACCCTGTTTGGTTCACTTTGAACAACTCTTAGAGCGTTATACTGAAAGCTTTCGTCTTGGACAAGCATTCTATTTGTAGCTTAAAGAACGTAGATTAATCTCCTGTCATTGATAATTATAGTAAGTGATCGGAACACTGTCAAAATCGCATTTAATCGCGGATTACCACTACTTTTTCGACCGGTGGCGCCACCCGTGGCAAATTGCTGAAACTCTTAGCCAAATCATACCGACAGGAATGTGAAAATTCCTAATGACGGAGAAATGCGAATATCTCAGTAAATAGGCGCTTAAAATGAACGCAGTTAGTTTCAAATTACTCCTGATGTCCCAGTGCATCGACTACCTACCGCAACACCCCATAATTGAAAGAATTATTTCTGTCAACACTGCATATGTACTATCAACACTGGTAGAAATAATTCCTCTAATTATGGAGTTCTGCTGCATTCGATCGACGCATTGAATAGTGGGAAATCATTTAAGACTAGCAACGTTATCTTTGAGCGTTTAATTACTGAGATATTCGCATTTTTCCATCACTAGGAATTTTCACTCACCTGTTGGTATGATTTGGATAGTATTTTGCGCGCATTGCCACGAGTGGCGCCACCGGTCGAAAAAAAAGTGGTAATCCGCGATTAAATGCGATTTTGACAGTGTTCTGGTCGTTTATTGTTATTATCAATGACATGGGGTTAATATACGTTCTTTCAGCTACAAATCGAATGCTTGGTCAAGACTAAAGCTGTTAGTATAATGTTGGAAGAGTTGTTCAAAGTGAACTAAACAGGGTACGTATGACGGGATACAGTGCGAACCGTTACAAATAAATCTAATCTTAACAATGTTCTTGTAATTACTTGTTTCCAGTCGCTAGAAAGAACTAATCTACGTTGTTCAAACTTCGAATTTAATGAGTGACGAGGAAAAATGATGCCCGTTCAGCGGTGTAAATGTAATCGAAATTCGGCGCAAGTAGGGTTGCCGTCCCATAAGGGGCTAAGGTAATACAGGCATAACTAATTTTTCTAATTCAGGGGTTCTGCACTATTGAGTCCATGCATTAAGTCGTCAAGAATAATTTGAGACCGAAGACGATCATTTTGAGCGCTTAATTACTGAGATATTCGCACTTCTGCATCACTAGAAATTCTCACTCACCTGTCGGTATGCTTTGGCTAACAGTTTGAGCGAATTGCCACGGGTGGCGCCACCGGCCGTAAAAATAGTGGTATCACGCGATTAACTGCGATTTTGACAGTGTTCTGGTCGTTTATTGTTATTGTCAATGGCAGGGCATTAATCTACGTTCTTTCAGCTACAAATCAAGTGCTTTACTTAGACGAAAGCTATCCGTATAACGGTGTAACAGCTGTCTAAAGTCAACTAAACGGGTTACGCATGACGAGATACAGTGTCAACCATTGCAAATAACTGTAATTTTAACAATGTTCTTGTAATTACTGGTTCCCAGCCGTTAAAGAGTATTATTCTACGTCCTTTAATCTTCGAATTTAATGCATGACGAAGAAAAATGATGCCCGTTCTCACAAGTACTAGTTTCTAACTTCCTTTATGAAAATACAAATTCCAAAATCTTCTCGCGCCGTACGTCTAGGGCAGTTCTGTCCTGAACTTACGCAGAGAAGGTAATTAAAATCATTTAAATGAAATAATTAATATTTCTTATTTCTCATAAATATTAAGACGGGGTTGTTGTTTAATAATTTATGATAAAATACAAATTATTCATTTATAAAGCTTCATTACAAGATTCCACATCTTGAATGTTACCTGTATCTCGATTTCTAATAGTTATAATTATTAACAATTTGCATTATAAAACAACTGGCGAAATATTTAACAACATATGTACCCTGGAGGTATCTAATTGTTATGAATATGACATTGTTGAAAATATTTAACTTATTGTGAAATAATTTCACGCGAATTGAGTAATGAACAAACTCGCAGCCAATTAGCTCATACTATTTGTTATATAGCTCGTCAACTCATAGGTGATTATGACTGTCAATTATATCCCCCCTTTGTGCTTTTTGCAACATTTTCCCCAACGAATCTAGTTGTTGATTTAATCAATATTACCAAATTATATACCAATATATCAAAGTTAATATTACCTGACGTATGTTTATTGGAATATACGTATATACATATAAATTATAATGATATAAAAGTTTGAAATACAATACGATGCGCTACGGTACAATACGTCTATTCGAATCAATTGCTCCCTTGCGACTACAACAATAATGCTATCCGCGTTCGGCGCAATGCGCTAATACGGAGGCCAACGAAATATCACTGTAACACTTAAAAAAGTGTTAAAGTTCCATTTATATCATTGTCCTGTGAAAATATTCATACTTCCATTAGCATTCATATTCCAATCAATGAATTTACAGAATAAGGAAAAGGAATCTAAAGTAATTTTCAGTAGTTC